ATGGTCCATGTCCCGTAGGGTTCTCAAGTCGTTTGTTGTTGCTAAAATTTGAGATGGTCTCTAGGCCCATATAGCTATTTCTGATGAGTCCAACTTCTGTGTTGCTTTATACATTTTATTTTGCGCCATAGCGTTAGGATTCTCTGGATTTTACCGCGCTTGCGCGCCCATTTTATTTGTTTTCGTCAGGATACCTTACGCAGAGGTATTTAAAAGCACAAGGAAACAATAATATGGTGCAAAAATCATGTTAATTAGGGTAATAATGGCTTACCATAAAAGAAATAAACAAATGGAAGAAGAAGGAGGCGCATTAAAGAAGACCAGAGCGATCAACGATGCACGGATACGACCACATGCACTCGTACCGCCGGTCGTTCCCCTAGTAAGACCATTTTATTATTTCTGGTGTTTGTTGTATACTCATAGAAGATGAACAAATTGAAATTTTCACAGAAAAAACCAAATAAAATCTTACAGGGAAAAAGGAAATCTACTCTTAAGTCCAGCTTGGAAATTCTTATTTCTAGGACGATAGTTCTAAGTTTTATTTCTCTGCCAAACAGTACTGAGTGTTACTCCCTCCATCCCAAAATAAATGATTTGACTTTGTACTAAAGTTAGTAAAAAGTTCCGACCCGGTCGAACTCTAAAAATACAGAAGTCTAAAAATGATTTAAGGGCCCCACCACACAGCCGACCCGGTCAGACAGCCTCCCGCCTCCTCTCTGATCTGATCTGATCGCCACCCGAAACCGGCGAGATAAGCCTCAGGGGCAGCCGCGTCTTTTCACAAATACAAACAATCGTACTCCTCCGCTATATAAACACACTCTCTCGCTAACGAAATCCCCTTCTTGCTGTCAAAAAAAAAAAGCTGTCAAAAAAAAAACCTCCCGGTCGCCGCGCGCAGCTAGCTTCCGGCGCTCCCCCAGCTCCACCGGTCCGTCCGGCGATCGCGCGGCGCGGGGTTTCGCGGGTGGATCGCCGGCAGATTCGGGCCTCCGGTAAGGCGATTCCCCGGCTCCTGTGCGCTAAGATTGGCGGGATTTTCGCTGGAGTTTGTTCTGATTCTCTGCCTGGGGTTGCAGGGCATGGAGCGCCGCGGGTTGCTCAAGGCGGCTCTACTGGCGTCGTGCTTGCTCGTGGTTTGCTCCGGGAGAGGTGAATGATTATCTTAGCCCCACTCTTTTGCTTGCCTGCAATTTGTTATGTTAGAGTCGGTCCTGTTCCTACTTGGAGCTCCATGTTGTGCTTGATTGGTTCGGTTTGCTTTGCTTCCAAACGGGAAATGTGTCGAAAACTGCAACTAATATGTGTCGAGATGCTTATCAAGTTGGTTTCAGCAACAGCAGCAAATTGTAACTAGAAGTGTGCACTTCAAGATGACCATATCAGCAAAAGAAAAGGAAAAGACATGTACTATCACTGGTGCATTCAGATTCGAAATGCCTGCCTGGAAATGTGTCTAGTTGGTGCAGCATGCTCAGATTCAGAATCAACTCTGTTTTTTTCTTTTTCTCTTCCTACAAGACGGTTCAGCTCTAACTTCAAAAAGTAACAGTAAATTTCAGTTTCCGTCAAACAGAACAAAAAAGGCTGTTACGACGATACTATGTACATTTGATTCTGAGTTATATAGCATGTATACTTATCAACTTTGATTTTACAAGTTGTACTGTTCTCCATGTATCCAGCGTTATCCATGTTGCTCTTCACATTGATGCTTTATTTTGTGGTTCAGTACCTACGGTTATACAGCAGCCATCCACTACCATATACAACTCAACCCTTGCCAAGACACTAGTGGAATATGCTGCTGCCGTAAGTTCATTTGCCTTTTCTTATCATAGTTATTCTGAGTATTTTTTTTTTCAACATTCAGTATTAGTTTGTCAAATTCTTTCTGGTACCTTGGAAAACTCCTCAAAAGTATACTCTGTTACTTAAGTTTCTACCATTTATCTCCGCAAATTTGGAGTTAAGTTTGGTGATGTCTTGCAGATATATACTGCTGATTTGACACAATTGTTCACCTGGACATGTGATAGATGCGGTGACCTGATCGAGGTAAGGCTTCTTACCACGCGTGTGCTTTTCTGTTTGCTGTCACATAAAAACGACCATCCCAACTTCATACAACACTCGTATGGTATGGATGATGAAGTAAACTTGTTGAATGACCCAGGGGTTTGAGATGATGGACATCATCGTAGATGTGGAGAACTGCTTAGAGGTTCGTCCCTACTTGCCTTCAGTGTGTTTATCTCTATGTTTTCTTCCGCCTGCTAAGTGCCTAGGTTGATCCCTTTTTTCACGATGAACAAGCAGGCATATGTTGGTTTTGCCAGTGATATTAATGCTGTCGTCGTTGTGTTTAGAGGAACTCAAGAGAACAGGTAATTACCCCACACCTCATTTTGTTTGGTTGTAATAAAATTGTAATTTATGTTTTGATTCAGAATGTTTTGTCGCTAATTTACGTATTTTGAATTCATTCTTGTGTACTTATAGAATTATAAATCCTTGACATGTTTCCTTAGTTTGCATATTTTTATCTATTGCATGCAATAGTCATTTAAAAGTGTGTCAAAATACTTTATAACCCCTCAACTGTATTCATCTTCCAATTTATCAGCATCCAGAACTGGATAGAGGACTTGTTATGGAAACAACTTGATCTTGATTACCCTGGCATGCCTGAAGCAATGGTGAGCATAGCTAAAGCATATAGTTAATGCAGTTGTGTTAAACCAAAATCCGTAGTAATGCTTGATTCCTGTAGGTACACCGAGGATTTTACTCTGCTTATCATAACACAACCATACGCGATGGAATCGTCAGCGGTATTCAAAAGACTCAGAAATTGCATGGAGATGTTCCAATTATGGTCACTGGGCATTCAATGGGGGCAGCTATGGCTTCATTTTGTGCACTTGATCTTGTTGTGAGTACTCTCTGCTTTCTCTTAAATACATTAAAATTGATCTTCCTCTACTGCATTATGTTGCATAGAAAATAGTTTTCCCTAACTCAATCTGCTAATTTTTCTGGTTGTGAGTTATATGGATCTTTTACCACATACTTTACCTAATGGTTGTTTTCGGACTATGCGTACTTCTACATGTCTGAGCAGTTAGTTATTTGCCGCTTCTTTCTTTCCTGATGGTTTAACCTGCACAGCTAACGGGAACTGTGTGTTTCTTTTTAGGTGAACTACGGGTTGGATGATGTGAAGCTGATGACATTTGGGCAACCTCGTGTCGGCAATGCTGCTTTTGCTTCTTACTTCAAGAGATACTTGCCTCACGCGATTCGAGTTACTAATGCAAATGATATCGTCCCTCATCTGCCACCATACTTCTCGTTCTTCCCTCAGAAGACCTACCATCACTTTCCAAGAGAGGTATGCTCCACTCTGTGGCACGCTTGTGCTGACACCTATTACACCTGTTTATACTCGCTAAATGCATATAGTGCCTTGAAAAATTCATTTAGTCCTGTGTAGTTTGTGCTTTGTGCCATATTGTTTCTACTTGGGAACCAAAGAAACCTTTCAATGTATACCCATCCCATCAGCTCCACTGCATAATGTGACGGTGTTCCTGTCCTTCCTTCAGGTATGGGTCCATGATGTCGGGCTCGGGAGTCTGGTATACACGGTTGAGCAGATCTGCGACGACTCCGGCGAAGACCCGGCATGCAGCAGGTCCCTTCCTCTCACCCCCTACCACCATCTCCCGTGAATTGTGCCACTGCCGCGCCGCATGGTACCCACTCTTGGTTAACATTGTTCGCCGCCTTCTCAGGTCTGTGAGCGGTAACAGCATTCAGGACCACATAACCTACCTGGGCGTGAGCATGCACGCGGAGGCCTGGAGCAGCTGCAGGATTGTCATGGACTATGCCGAACTGCGGTACAAGATGGACCTCCATGGAAACGTCGTCTTGTCGAAGCAGCAGCAGCAGTCTGGTCTGTCCAACGAGCGAAGAAGACACAGCGCCCAGTGAAACCCATGTAAAGAAGTTCTGTGTCATCATAGTAGCACCACGCACGCAACATGTCCTTCCCCACTCTGCTTCATTGTTTCTGCATCCAGAGAGGGGATAACACCACCACGCTCGACAGGAAGATGCTTGCTGTAAATGTTTGCTTGGTAATGTGAAGCATTTTCCAGTACAAAATACTTCTCTTCTCTTTGCTCACATGTAACACCTGACTAAGTTTTCTTCCATGTTCATCGCTCCCACAATCAATTTGAAAATGTTTTGAGCTGATTTGCAAGATGGGCGCGTGACTGACAAAAATAGCAGTATATACATGAACAACATGGTTTCCAGGAACAAAAGGAGAACAATAATGTATGGGTGCTGAAATTCTGAATAACCTGATACTTTTGCTGCATGCTAAACCATGTTCGCACTACGATACAAGCAGAAGTACGTCGAAGCTAATACAAATAAATGACCGATCCCGCGACTCGACACAAAAACAATAGCAGCTGTACGAAACATGGGTAATCTCTATCCTATCCCCCAACCAAACCTGAAATCTCATCCATCAGAAGAAACTGCCTGGCACGGTTGCGCAATCAGTTCCAGAACACAGGTGCAGCAGAGCGTACTCGTCGACATCGTGTAACTGCAGAAAAAGAAAGGAAGGGCCCGACACACGCAGCTCTGCGGCTTCGACAGTCTTCCCGTTCCCTTTCCTACATTTCCAGCTGCATCTTGTAGGCTCCTGAGCTCTAAAGGACATGGGTACATGACACAATCACATTCGCAAGGAATGGACGCCGCCCGGAGAAGGCATGTCAACTGCAACGACTTACAGATAAAGCAACCGTGAGGCAGTGCTGATGGCAAGAAAAGCCTTTATTCACAGACAACGGGACAGTGCTGGAACAATGATCGTGTTCCTAAACTTGGCCCGTCTGGTGCTGATGAGCAAACTCGTCGACCCCCTGCTAGAGTGACGTCGTGAAAGAGAACTGTCCAGTTTACTCATTTGTACTATCAAAGCTGCCATTCGGTCGCTTCCGCTCCCTGGAGTTCTCCCCCCATATTTTAGCATCTGCAATGGCGCGCTGCCTGTCAGCAATCCTTGGGGTTTCTCTCTTCCTTCCTGTCTGAGCTGGACTGCCTGCCTGTGATCCTGCCATGTCAATTTCATCCAATCCTGACCTACGGCCAGAATCACCACCAGTAGAACTAGTCCGGCTGACCTCCCCTCCGTGCTTTGATGTCCTGGGAGAAAGATGATTTGGTGAGCGGCCGTTGCGCTGTTCGCTGTTCCGCCCACCAACATTTCTGGCCCTAGGGGTTGATGAATTGCTCCGAGTATGTTGAGTTGGGGCATTTGGATCATATGTCTGAGAAGCTAGATATGAGAGAGCAGTGACAACATCTCCTATATGAGGACGGGTTGTGGCTTGCTCTTGCAAACACATGGCAGCAACAGCTAAAGCCTGATACAGACCCCTCATAGGGAACCGGCCTTGAAGCATTGGGTCAGCCATCTTAGGAAACTTCCTGCGATCCTTGAAGAGTGGGCGAGCCTGCAGATCAGACAAGCTGTATTAATTATCCAAAGTCAAAATGAGCAGAAGTTGTCTTTTTCTAATAAACTGCAGTGGCAACTGGTTACAGACGGTAATTTTAGCAAAGTAACAGAAAAGAACATTTTCAGTCAATGGCATAGCTGGCAGGATGGTGTTTCACTAAGAATGCTGAAGTGAAACCAGGAGCTACTTGCAAACCCTGGCCAACTGAAATAGCTATAGTATAAAAGCATACCCATGCCACCAGGTTTTGCTCCCCCTGGGGTTTGGTGTTGTCGATTGCTTTGCGCCCTGTAATCAGTTCAAGGAAAACAACGCCAAAGCTATAGACATCCGATTTCACTGTGAGCTGCCCAGTCATAGCATATTCTGGGGCACAGTAGCCATAAGTTCCCATCACACGTGTTGAAACATGAGTGTTGTCACCAACTGGACCGAGTTTTGCAAGGCCAAAGTCAGACAGCTTTGGGTGAAACCCTTCACCAAGAAGAATGTTTGACGATTTGAAATCCCGGTAAATAACAGGAGGGCTGGCCTTGTCATGAAGATGCTCTAAGCCCTTGGCTGCACCTGCAGCTATCTTCATCCGTGTGTTCCAGTCAAGAGGTTCCTTCTCAGGTGGCACATCTACATATATTAGAAAATAATACTTTAGCCTTCAACTAAAGATGCCATTGATTTTTAAAGGATTCATGAAGCAGTCATGCTGAGTACATATGTAATAATAAAAATATTACTTAGTATATACTGCTATAAGCACACATGGAATTTTTAAAGACGACATCGCAAAGAGAAGATAAACGAACCATGCAAGTGATCTTCTAATGAGCCCAGTGGCATAAACTCATAAACAAGGAGGCGTTGGTCACCATCAGCACAATAACCAATTAGATTGACAAGGTTAGTGTGATGCAAGAGACTGAGCATGAGGACCTCAACAAGGAATTCTCTATTTCCTTGGAGCCCGTCACGATCAAGTTGCTTCACAGCAACAGCCTGAGAAGTACAATCAGTTTGTTAGTGTCCAGGACTAACCCAATTAAAATAAACATAGAAACTCTACCAACATTTCGCATAAGAGGTGAATATTTCAGCTGAATCGCTCAAAATCTACAAGTTAGAGTGTACTCCCTCCGTAAACTAATATAAGAGCATTTAGATCACTATTTTAGTTATCTAAACACTCTTATATTAGTTTACAGAGGGAGTATTCAGGAAGATCTCAGTGTATAGTATACTGACCTGCCCACTCTCTAGGCGACCTTTATATACACGTCCGAAACCTCCCTCGCCCAACATGCAATCTTGTCTGAAGTTCTTAGTGGCAGCAGCAAGCTCACGAAAAGTGAAAATCTGCGCGGCAATGTTTTGGCTGCTCCCATCCCGAGGGATGGTTAGATGATTATTCTTAGGGTCTGATCCACCCTGCAGCCTCAATTTATCTGAGCAGAAAATGGTTCAGAGTTAGCAGTCAGTTTCAGTACAATCAGTTAAATTAAATGATTTAACAGAGAAAAAAAGTGGTTCACTCTTAGAGCACTAACATTCTGCCAGCAGAGAGTAGAAACATTAAAAGAAGTTGAGGGCCTCTTTGATTCACAGGATTGTCAAAATGAAGGAATAGGAAAAATGCAGGAATAGGGTGACATGTCCCATAGTATCCTACAGGATTTGAAAGAATGTTTGATAGCATAGGAAAAACAAAGGAATTCTACAAAGAGGTTTGAGTGGATGGAAATTTTCCTCCAAAATGTAGTACAAATGGATCATATGGAAAAATTCCTAAGGATGCCAATCCTACGAATCAAACGAGCATCACAGGAAAAATCCCTAAGGGTTTAAATCCTCCAAAAATCCTATGCAATTCCTTTGAATCAAAGGAGCCCTGAGTGGTATTAGATGAAGGAAACTTTGCTACTACTCTAGAAGGACTTCAGCTTGAAGGAAACACCTATTTTTAACCATTTGTCTTAACCACACAACAACAACAACAACAACAAAATCATATTCCTCCCCTGGGAGCTAGTGAACAGCCACATTTAAGTAGAAGGCTTGGAATTAATACTCAACTTGTTTGAAACAACCGTTAGCTAGAGAAAAATTCGGCATTCAGTTTCTGAAGTAACACCGGAAGCATTACCACAATGATGTAAATATTGAAAGTATTTCCTACAATTCCTCCATCACTCAGTTTCATGAGAAGAAAGGATCCTCTGCCAGTCTTTTGTACACCATAATAGGCAGGGTCCTCTTAGTACCAATCTTTTGTACGCTACAATTGGCTGGCACTTTATGCTGCCAAACCGGCAAACCCCGAAGGAGAGGAATGGCAGATAGATTGTGAATCGCCACGACGAGTTAGTGGCCTAGCTGGACAAATACACTGCCTCAAACATAAGTACTGTATGTAAAAAGGATTGTTGAAATGACAGCCACATCATGTGTATGTATCCTCTCCGCTCCTATGTCATACTGTATCCTCCCTTGTACTATTATAGAGGGGTCTGGGTTTCAAGGCATGGTAACAAAATACCCATCGCTTGGTACCCATGCATAGGCAGCCTGCTGCCTGCTCTCCTGGTTTTAGTATTGCCAGAAGCAAGGATTCAGCTTCCAATTCAACGCTCTCTCATAACTAAACCAGAGGTAAAAACAATCCTAGCAGCAGCCTGTGCATTCCCATCTCTTCCTCACAAGGCGAGATCGCAGCTCAGCAAATAGGAGCACTCAATAAGTAAGCAAGCAGGAGAAGAAAGCATGGTAACACTAAACAACACCACGCCGCCGGCGCCCGCGGTAAGCAACACGGCGAAGCGAAGGCTAAAGCTAAAGGAAGAGGTGAGGAGGGATTCGCAATTGCAAGATCCAGCGGGCGCACCTGATCCGGTGCGATCCGGCGCGGCGCCGTCCTTGGCGCGGGGGTCCTTGGCGTCGGGCCCCGGCTTGCCGCCCTCCGCCTCGAGGGCCGGGCCGAAGCAGGAGAAGCAGCTCATCCAGGCGCGCTCCCCCCTCTCCTCCCCTCCCTCGCCGGAACCAGGGAAAACGCGTGGCCCGTACAGGAGAGGCCGCCGCGCCGGGTCTCGACGAGTGGGGATCCCCTCCCCGGGAGGATCTCCGCTTGCCGGAAGGGACGGGCCCCAAGCAAGACTGGAT